AGCACACTCTAAGGGAGCAGCAGCCTTGTCTATTGAATGCTTGATGGCTCAATATACTAATCCTAAGCTCTCACGTTTGATCCTTCAGACAAGCATAAAACTCAGATGCTTTAAATGTGTGCAAGGTGACCACATTGGCAAGTCAAAGAGGAGATTGATCAAGTTTTTTCTTTTTCTTTTTGAGTTCCACAACATGTTTGTGTAGGGTGGAAATTTGAAACTCTATTCTCTTAGTTGAGCATTATGCTTTAACCAGCTACATTTAACATTGAAAACTTATTTTGGACCGTGTGCAAGACTATTTCCAATCTAATCCTCAAAAGGTAAAAGGTGAACCAAGTCACCTTCTCATGAGACCACAATATCAAGCCCAACAAGTAAGAACGGAGATCGGGATCGACATTTTCCATACAACCATATATCGAGGGCTAGAGGGAGTCAATTTAGTTTTTTAAGAAAGAACAAAAAAAGTTTTCCACGACCAAGTACACAAGGTTGTTCCTCAAAACCAAGCACTGAGGGTCATGAAAGTCCAAGCTTTTTCCCCTTTATATTGAGACCATAAATGACCTTGATATTCCAATATTTTTTCTTTAAAGTGTGGAGGCATGCATGCAACCAATATATCTCCTCACATTGTTGCTCTTGTCAGACTACCACTTACCTCATGTAAAACCTTTGCCTATCAGCTTCGTAATTTGTACAAAAAGAGTTCTAATCCAAAAGGAAAGGAGGTAACTTTGGAGGAAATAGGAGCTCCAAAAGCTAGTAAAACCAAGTAACTAATTTCCTAACAGGAAGAATAAGATGCAAATAGATATTTACTTTTAACCTTTCAGCCAATGGCTCAATTAACAGTTACAAAACAGAATTGGTTGTGGAGAATTCATAAGTTCTGTCTATCAAGACAGACTAGCAATATCGTTTCCTCCTATGACAAAGATGAACTCCAAAAGGATGCTATCCTTGGCAGAAGGATGAATCTCGCAAATCCCCCACCGTGGTTCGTGGTTCGTGGTTCAGGGATGAGTTCACAAATCCCTCAACTGAAAGAATCTCTTGATAACCTGATAGAACAACCTAACGTTTTGTTTGACCAATACAAAGTTCCTTCCTCACCGGGATTACAATTAACTCGGGGAGATCATGCCAAGTTCCTCAAACATGGAACAGGAAGCAAGGCTACTAATTTGAGAAAGAATTACATGTATTCCCATTCATTACCGACGTTGACTGGACAAAATTCATAAAATGAGAACCACTCTGCATTTCTACTTCATAAGAGGAAACTATGTTACATCGAAACAGAAACAATATGTCCTGGCAAGATACAGTGACTAAAGCAGAGTTCAAATCACATGGTCCAGGGACCTAGTGAACTTGTGGACTGGAAAAATCTAATGAAAGCCAATTATGAGTATGACATAAAATGAATTCTGTGCAGTATGACAAAGTTAAACATATACATAAAATGGCAACATTTTTTTTTCCCTGCCTCAAGGGTTTTTATTCTGAAAACTATTTTATAAATACTGCCTCAGAATTGAACAAATTGTTTTGATTCCTAAAAGGCAGAAAAGAATTTTAAATGCGAACTTCAGATAGGATCTTAGTAATCCTATTCTAACCATCACAGGTCATCCCATAAAAAGGCACAAGAACTGCCTTTGATCACCTACGTACCTATTCCAAGTTTCCAATTGTTAGAACTGACTTTCCTTTTTCCAACCCGAGCATAGTTTAACTGATTTATGTCCAAAGTTTAACGCTTATTTGGATCGAAAAGATTATTTCATGGTATAGATTAAAAGTGATTACGAACTTGGGGATGGAGAGTTTTACCACATCCCACCCCAATCCACATGAACCTTTTGACTGAAACCATCAGAAACTTCTGCTCAATTGCTTAAAGGAATAACTTGTATAACAAAAGGAATACTTTTTCTCATAAATGTGAGACGGAAACGAAGAGAGAAAACTATATTTCGAAATTGAATCTAGCTTTTCACCCCCAATCGGCTTCCTGGATAGCAAACCCAACAAAAATAACAGGAACAATTAAAAACTTACAATGCTGCCATGTGTTTCCAGCCAGATCCTCAGCCTTTTTTGTTGCTTCCCCGACTTTCTTCCCCCATTTCCCTAGCACGGTCCATGCAGAATCAACCGCCTCTGATCAAAATGCATCGAAAATCAATGAGACACAAAAACTTACTGTCGCCGCACGAAGGCACATATACAAATCAATGAAACAGAACCAAATATCAAAGTCAGAGAAACTACCTTTGAAGGAAATTGAAGAAGAAGGGGCCAAAGAAGCATGAGAATTCGACCCATATGCATTCGAAGCAACGGACGGGGACTCGGTGACCAATTCGGTGCTCCAACGCACCGATTTCTTGGACCCGGAAGAGGGCGTTGAAATCGCAGGTTGCTCGTTCTGGGTCGGAATCTTGTTCTCCGAACCCATCACGAAATTGCCCCAATTCCCATCTCCATTGGCGGTCTGGTCTACCTCTTTAGGATCGGATTTTGGGCTCTTATCGTCTCTCGAGATCGGAGGTTTGTTCCCGCCCTCTTGCTTCGGCTGCTCCATCTAAAATTCTTCAGAAGCAGAGTAATCGGATCGTGCTGGGTATTTTAGTTTGGGGAAAATTGCAGGATAGAGGAAAGGCTTGTCAGGGAGGGGGCTAATGGCCGGACGAAGAAGACGACCCTTCTTTTTAGCGCGCAGGGGAAGCAAATTGGATCTGGTGCCGTATGATTTAGATGATCCAGGTGCCAAGGTGGGTTCTTCAAACCCCATACTCGCTTTCCTTGGGAAAGGCTAATTTTAGGACAATTATTATTTTTTTCATCAAAAGTCACGATATTTTAGATAAAATTATAGTTTTTTTTCTTTTCTTTTCTTTTAGTTCATAAAATTATAGTTGATAATTTAATATTGATTTATTATGCTATATACTTTGTTCTCTAACCCTAATCTTGGTGCTCTTTTTTCAGTTTAGTGACTTAGTTCCCATTCATTTATAAATTTACAATTTCTTTAAATTCCTTTTAAATCAATAGTATATTTAATCAATATTTCGATTAACATTATATGACCCCAGAAGATTTGGTGGAAGGAAAAAACAATATAATACACTAAACGATAAAATAGAATGTTTTATTTTTTAATTTTTTAAAATTTTAAAATTAGGACTAAATTGGAAAAAGACAGATGATATTATAGACAAAGTAATATCATTTTTATTGGTTAAGATTACCTATACAAATTATTATTCTTAAATTATATTATTTATTATTAATAAAGTTTTTTTAGCTATAATATTCAATTAATTTATTATAGATAATTAAAAAAAACGGTATTTTTGTGGATGTGTTTCAATCCAAGACATTGATTTGTGTCCATTTAAAGTTTGTCTTTAATCAACGTGTATGCCTTATAGCAATATTAATAATTAATTTTATGTGCCTTAGTTCATGATTTAGTAAACATGTTTTTTTTTTTTTTTTTTTATATAGTTTTGATTTATGATGGGCTTGCTTTTGGTTTTCTCAAATTAAGTGGATACATGGATTAGGGAGGCTGTTGGGCTCATTTTTCTCATAAAATCACTAAATTTAAATTCCCATTTTCACAAAATAGCTAAATTACCTTTTTTATTATTATTATTTTATTTTTTTGTAAATAGTCAAATACGAAAAAAATAGTTTAATAAGCCAAAACACTCCATGCACCAAAATTGAATAATAAAATAACAATGAACTGAAATCTAAAATAAAATCTAAATAATTTATTTGAATAAAAGAGTGTTAATTTAAAATCAAAACAAACAAATTAATTTTTTAATAAATTATTTATTTTAATTTGACTATCGTTGGTCAACTTTACAGATCATCAAGAACTGTCATACCAAATACAAGGAATGTTATTTATATTGGGGCAGGTTAGCTGGAGGTACACGCGTCGGGTTGTAATGGGGTATGATCAATTCCGCGCTGGCGTGGCGTGGGTCACCCACCAACTTCCCTATTTTACGACTTAACCAAAATATATATATATATATATATATATATATATATATATATATATCAGAGTAGTTTTAGAAAAGTCTTTTTAAAATTTTTCTATTAATTCAAATGTTTAATAAAAACTATAGTAAATATCGGGCAAGAAAAAAAAATCATTTTTCAAAACTCAAATAATTACCAAACACTTTTTTTTAAGCATATAAATATTATTCTTATTGATTTCTTTTTAATCATCCAATTATGGGGTATATTTTCAAAATCAAAGACAGTTTAAAAATAAGTGTATAGATATATATTTGAAATTTGAAAATCAATTGTTTACTTTTTTATTTTTTTAACAAAGCAAATAGAAGCCATAACAATTGTAAATAGATGGTAAGAAATCAAACAAAATTAAAAAAAAAAAAGTTTTAAAATTACCTTAAAACTAAATTAGATGGTAAATAATTTATGGTCTAATGCTCACCACAACAAATAAATGTACAAATGAGTTATACAAATGGATTGAAATATGTATATATTTATTAGATGAGTAAATATTACGTGACAATAATAATAATAATAATAAGAATAAGAATAGTAACGACAGTTAGGCCACAACTATTATTACTCTATTTTCCGGGGGTCGATTTTTCAAATGATTGTCTGCTTTTTCCATTTATGGCGGCTACCCAATTCCTTTCACGCAACTCTACGCCTTGTCGCCACGTGTACTCGTTTTGACAGCCTGGACTAACTTTTTCTCAGAAAGTTGCAAACCCTCTTGGCAAGTCCTAATGTCCCACCGACATTTCTCGAACTGACACCTGGTGGATCCAACGGGAATGTGTGATTTCTTAAGCGTTGAGAAATCTAAACGCGTACACGTGTCCCATTCTGGGTAGCTTGTTTACTTGGTCAACCTGCATCTGATTCCTCTGGAAGGCTCCTTTGCTATGGTTATATATATACGGACTCGCACCGCCTCCTTGCTTACGAATACAAGAGTAGCAAAGCGCGTCGTTCCTTTTACAAAGCTGTTGTTTGGCTTCCACTACCTTTCTCTAAGATACTCTCTCCTGAGAAGATTTTTCTTTTTTCCTTTTTTTTTTTTTTATTTACGAAAAAGACGATGGGATTCTCTGGGGTTCGATTGGTTGTGATTTTTGCTTTGATGGCGTTGTGTACGGCACAGGCGCCAGCACCGGCACATGATTCCCCAAAGCCTATGCCTCCGACACCAGCCACGCCGGCGCCTTCTCCGGTTGCATTCCCTCCATCTCCGTCTCGGTCGCCAATCAGAGCACCATCACCATCACCGACCTCGGCGTCGCCCTCACCTGCTACAGAGGCTCCATCACCGGCACCGTCGGCACATGCTCCTGCTCCAGAGACTAAAGCGCCTACCCCATCTCCGGCGACTAGTGCACCCACTCCAGCTCCCAGCTCCCGACCTATTCCTTCGGGGTCTCCCGCCGGTGCTCCTGTAGTTCCTCCAATCGCTTCTCCTCCTTCACCCAGTACAGACGGGCCTTCACCGATGCCCGAAGCACCGGCGGCCGATAGCCCAGCTGGAGCGGCGTCGCACATCGGCGGAGCGACGACGTTGGGGATCGCTATTGCTGGAACTCTGTTGGCAATGGTTGTAGCGTAGATTGAAGTAATGGGTATATGTGAAGGTGGGTTGCTCTGATGGGTGATGGAATCCTCTTCCTTTCTAATTCCCTTATACACAGCGTTTACAGAATTAGATTACTGTCGTTATTATATATTTTTTTAATCTTGGACATTGAGAGAGCTGGTTTTGTAATTTTGGTAGTCATGATTATTTGAGGACTCTTTAGTTCTTGTGTTCATCATAGTTGTGCCCATTTCATTTATACATAAATCACTCCTCTGTACATCGGATTGGAGATTAATAAAATTGCTAATCTTCATTTTTTTTTTAATTTTTTATGTTAGAATATTTGATCTTCACGTGGTTTATAAACAGTCGTGAATTGTTATCACTACATTTATATGGTAGCACCAACCATGCTTTCAAATTTCTTTCAATAATGGCAAAATAATGCAAATTTCAATTTCAATTCCACCCAGCATCACAAAGAATATCAAAAGTTTCAAGGTCTTGAAACTTATGCCTACTCTAAATCATATGAGTATCATTAAAGATGTCATTTTGAGTGTGAGACGCTTACCTAAACCATATATTTATATGATTGAATTGACAATTTTATAATAGAGGTGAGATGTAGAGATGTAAAATTTTGCTTTCATGTGCCTTCTTTTCCTAACCAAACTTGTTTCTTCACTAAAATTCATCAAAATCCTTATAGAAAATAATAAATTTACGCACTCTTAAAATTATAAGCTGAATATTTATTTAAGATAAAAAAGAAAAGAAACGTCGAGTTTGCCAAGGAAAGCAGAAGGACAAGATTGGTTCTATTTCTGGAATGCACTTTCGTTTGTCCGTCCCACATCGGTGAAGCCTTAAAGAAGCAAAGCGCGCACCACTTATAAAATGAAATCAACGGGCTCCCTTGAAACATACTTACCTGGACGGGGCTTTTGGGTGGTCATGAAGGCCCATAGCCTAGGTTGGTGACCTCCATTGCACTCCGGAGGGGTGCCCGCCTAAGGTCTGTCCAATGTGGCAGAGCCTACGTCATAATTTGTGGCAGTGGGGGCCTGCGTTCGCGCGGCCCCTCACATAACGAGTTTCAATTTTTATCCTTTTCATTCTATTTCCAATATTACTTGTCTTTTTGTTATAGGTATTTTGTACGAATGTCTTGATATCACATAATGGTGGTGCATGGACATGTGGGATCTGCATTCAATTATCTTCCGACTACTGGAGGAGTCGAATGCGGCTTCCCTCTCTGTCTTTAAGCCAGCGCTTGTATAAAACAGGGAATGAGAATCTGGTAGAGGGGGAAGGGAAGGAGTCGAATAATAAAATATTTCATCTGGAAACTTGATTCTCTTCCATTTTAACAAACTTTTCACAAATAGTTTTATTTACTGTTAATCCTCAGAGAATAAGATCTCCTCTCACCTTATTTTGTTTGGAGCAGGTCCAACATCTCACCCATAAAATATTATAGAGTTGATAATATAGATGCAATCATTAATAATAATGACATACAATCCAATCCTAATGACCCAATGAAAACTAATTTCGATGTAGTGGTGGTGGTTAAGTTATATTAAAGTAAAATTCATCTAATTAAGTTACATCATCTCCTGGTATAATATACAAATAATTATTCCTATTTGAATTATCAAGTTGAGGGATAAAGTTTTTTGGACTTCTTCTATTGACAAGACAAGAAATGGTTCCTAAATATGCAAAAGTTTCCCCAAATAAATTAAACAAAAAAAGCTCAAACAATCCAAATCAACTAACTACTACATAAATAATGCAATCAAAAGCAAAGCAGCGAAAATTTCCGATACCAGCCCAGCCAATTGTCAAAATTTACCACATTCTTAAACACATTCAATTAGTGGTGGCACGTAGAGTAAAAAACATGTTCTTAATAACTTTAAATACAAATTTTAAATACTATTGTGTCAGCCACACAGATGAGTATCATCCACAACTCCAACAACCATTTTTTCCTCTCATTCTTGGCCGACAATCGGAGGCATAAATTTTAGAATCATGGGCGATGATCACCAAACAAACGTTCCTTTACTGGAAGATTCAACTGAAATATTACATCCTGGAGACCCAGATAAGGATCAAAATTCTGAAGATATTGTAACACGGGTGTGGGTTGAATCCAAGAAGCTATGGCAGATCGTCGGCCCTGCAGTCTTGAGCAGGATAAGTACCTACTCCGTCATGGTAATCTCCCAAGTCTTCGCCGGTCACTTGGGTGACCTTGACCTTGCCGCCATTTCCATCGCCCTTAACGTCATCATCGGCTTTGACTTGGGACTTATGGTACTAACTGACATTCAAAATTCTTTCCAGTTCAGTTCTTCCTATGTTCAAACTTCACTCAGTTCTTTTTTTTTTTTTTTTTTTTGGGGCTAATTGTTGAGATGGGGATNCTCAGTTTTTTTTTTTTTTTTTTTTTGTGGGGCTAATTGTTGAGATGGGGATGGCAAGCGCATTGGAGACGCTGTGCGGGCAGGCTTACGGGGCGAAGAAGCACTACATGCTGGGAGTGTATTTGCAGCGCTCATGGATGGTTCTGTTCATTTGCTGCGTTTTGTTGTTGCCTGCTCTGGTGTTCGCATCCTCGATTCTTAAGGTGATAGGGGAGCCTGATGACTTGGCTGATCTAGCGGGGGTCTTGGCCAGATGGTTGATTCCGCTGCACTTCAGCCTTGCGTTTTACTTCCCTTTGCAGAGGTTCTTACAGAGCCAAGTGAAGGCCAGGGCGATTATGTGGGTTGCGATGGTGGGACTTGCAGTGCACGTGGCCGCCAGCTGGGTATTTGTGGGCTTGTTGAAGATGGGAGTGGTGGGTATTGCGGTGGCATGCAATATTTCTTGGTGGGTTCTGCCGATTGGACTCATGGCTTACACCACCTGTGGTGGCTGCCCCAACACGTGGACTGGGTTCTCCGTCGAAGCCCTCACCGGTCTTTGGGACTTTCTCAAGCTCTCTGCTGCTTCCGGTGTCATGCTATGGTCTCTGCCACGAATTAATTAAAACATTACAACTTATTTCCTTTCTCTGTTTGTTAATATTAGCATTTGCAATTCATAAACTTTCAGTCTGGAGAATTGGTACTACAAAATATTGATAGTGATGACCGGAAACATGAAGAACGCCAAGATTGAAGTGGATGCTTTATCCATCTGGTCTTTCTATATACCTTTTCTATATTGCTTCAATTCTTCTTACAAAGGAAAAATGAAGCATAATCTTGTTCTGATTGCAGCATGAGTATCAACGGACTAGAAATTATGATTCCTCTGGCGTTCTTTGCGGGTACAGGGTAAATGATTAATTGCTACTCTTCCAATTATATATATACATATTTACATTAGAAGATACCCATTGATTGTAACAAAACAGAGTGAGAGTGGCAAATGAGCTCGGGGCAGGCAATGGAAAAGGAGCCAAGTTTGCAGCCATCGTCTCATCGGCGACATCATTGATAATCGGCCTTGTATTTTGTTGCTTGATTGTGTTACTTCGCGACAAATTTGGTCTTCTTTTCTCGTCCAGCGCCATCGTGCTTCAGGAAGTCAACAAGCTCAGCATCCTGTTGGCCTTCACCATCCTCTTCAACAGTGTCCAGCCAGTCCTCTCTGGTAAGCTGCGTATATTTCAAAAGGGAATGTGGCTGCTACATTTAATGCCTTTATTCATTTCCCTTACCAAATCAAACTTGGTCCCAATAAATAGGAGTGGCGGTTGGATCGGGTTGGCAATCGTACGTAGCTTATATAAACTTGGGTTGCTATTATTTCATTGGTTTGCCTGTTGGGATGTCCGCACTTAAGTTCTCCCACCTTGGTGTGAAGGTATTAACAACAACATTCAACTCCACATTTAGCAGTTAACTTATGAAGTATATGCTTATTTATATATGTATGTTCATCAAAGGGAATTTGGATGGGGATGATATTTGGAGGAACAGGAATTCAGACACTCATCTTGCTCATCATTACTATTCGATGTGATTGGGAAGGAGAGGTATGCTCTACGTATCCATTTAATCTGCTTACTTTGAACACTAAATTTGATATAAATCTTATGAAAATGGATGGATGACTGTCTCTCGCAGGCTAAGAAAGCAAGTTTTCGGATGCAGAAATGGTCAGATCAACGGTTTGAGCGAAAGGGATGAAAATCTTATCTTGGTTTCATTATCCAATCTGTGATGCACACTGTTTCATATATCGGAATTGTTGATATAAGCCATAATTATATAATTATATCGTCCGATGCACATGACTCAAACAGTTTTTGTTATTATTCATACCAATTCTGCGTTTCCATTTTCATTTTACTTTCATTTAGAATTTAATAGCCTGAAATTAAAAAAATTTAAGCTCAGATTAGTGATATCTTTGAACATTTCTTATCCAAAACGACATCGTTTTTTAATTCAAACTTAACACTTTGGTTATTCTAAAATAGACGTATTTGATTTATAATAATTGCATTCAGCTTTAAATCGTGGATGGTAAAATAATAAAATTGTAATTTAAAAAATGACGCACGTGCTTACCTCATCCATCGTGTCAGTTGAGTTTTGATAAGGTGCAAACGACAACTCATAGTGTTTGCCGTTTGGATAAGGTGTAAGATATTTGTCTTTTTTTTAACTAATTTTTACATTTTTACAAATTAAATATTATATTTAGCTGTTTTAATATTGACATATTGTCATGTACTTGGGTTGTCACATTCTTTTGAACTTGTCAATTTGTAATTGCCTACCATGGTTTTTTTTTCTTTTCATTTTAATACGTTATTCTCGTGACAATTTAAATGGAATTATTGCATAATAATTTATTTAAAATTAGTGTATGTCTTTTTATTCAACGAAGGGAAATTGATTTGAATATTAATACCTGAAGCATGTGAATTGGGACACTATATGTTGAAAAAATTCATGTCAGTCAATAAACATAATTGAAGCAACAAATGTGTAACGTTACTTGTTACGGTGGTGGTGCATGAAAATACTAATTTTGTATATTTTCTCCTGTATAGCCTCCTATGAAGTAGTTGGCTGAGCAACTTTATGATCCCAGGTTCAATAATTTTGCTGTGGTGTCAGTTTTTAAGAGAGAGATGAGCTCGTAGATCCCTTGAACTGTGGTATCCTCCTCAAGCACGCAACACTCTTTCCTCCCACCGTTTCCAGGACATGGACGAACAGCAAGTAAACGTTCCCCTTTTGCAAGATTGTTCCGCAACACTACAACCCCATAATCAAGATATTGTAACACGCTTTTGGATCGAATCCAAGAAATTATGGAATATCGTCGGCCCTTCAATTTTCAGCAGGATAATCTCCTACTCCATCCTCATAATTGCCCAAGCTTTCGCCGGCCACTTAAATGACCTTGATCTTGCGGCCTTTTCCATCGCCGTCACCGTCGTCATCGGCTTCGACATGGGGCTTCTGGTTGGTACAAAAACCGTAACTCTCTGTGTTAGCTACACCAACTCTGTTTTTTCTTTAATTTGGTATATTTAATTTCAGATGGGAATGGCAAGCGCTTTGGAGACGCTATGCGGGCAGGCGTATGGGGCGAAGAAATACTACATGCTGGGAATCTATATGCAGCGCTCCTGGATCGTTCTCATCCTATGCTGCGTTTTGCTGTTGCCTATTTTCTTCTTTGCGTCTCCAATTCTGAAGCTCATAGGGGAGCCTCATGATTTGGCAGACCTCGCTGGAGTTTTATCCATCTGGATGCTTCCTATTCACTTCAGCTTCGCGTTTTACTTCCCATTGCAGAGGTTCTTGCAGAGCCAGGTGAAGGTGTGGGCGATTGTGTGGTCGGCCGTGGCGGCGCTTGTCTCGCATCTGGTGGCCAGTTGGGTGCTCGTGGTTCAGCTCAAAATGGGAGTGGTGGGCATTGCGGTAGCTTGCAACATTGGTTGGTGCGCTATGCCCACTGTTCAGATTGTTTACACTACCTGCGGCGGCTGTCCCCTCACTTGGACTGGGTTCTCGGTGGAGGCCTTTTCTGGTCTCTGGGAGTTTGTCAAGCTCTCTGCTGCTTCAGGGGTCATGCTATGGTCTCTCCCACTATTAATCAACCTAAATCAAGCTCCGTTCTCTACTTTTACCAGTTTTTTTCCAAAATCAAAGAAAAGTTTTCAAGATCTTTTTTTTTTTTTTAAATTTCATTATTGTGAGATGAAAAACAAACCCACCTTTTTTCCCAATCAAATTTCACTTTTAACTCAGCCTATCAAAGTGTTGGAAGATCAAAAGTTGGCCAGCTCGGATTGGATATCGGGTTGACCTATGGAACAATCTACTTCGGCCATATCTGTATTGGCCTGTCACTGGGCAAACCCAAATACGTGTGAACATATATAATCTTTTATATTAAAAAAGTAATGTTTTTTATATTAGCGTTTATTGTGTTTGTTTGTGTGTGTGGTTAAGCTGACAATTTTGATTTACAAATGATGAAATTTCAGCCTGGAAAATTGGTATTACAGAATACTGGTAGTGATCACTGGAAACATGAAGAACGCAGAGATTATGGTGGATGCTCTATCGATCTGGTTCTTTCTTTCTACAACTATTTTCTCTTCCAATTTTCTTTATATTCACCCGGAAATTACTAGAATGAAAAAAACTGGTAATTATTGTAATGGCAGCATGAGCATCAACGGATGGGAAATGATGATTCCTTTGGGATTCTTCGTGGGCACAGGGTAATCATCTATTTCAGAACATCTTATTATTTCTCCCAGTTATGATAATAATATAGTTGAAAACAGAGTGAGAGTGGCGAACGAGCTCGGGGCAGGCAACGGAGAAGGAGCCAAGTTTGCCACCATTGTCTCCTCGGCCACCTCCTTAATAATTGGCCTCGTCTTTTGTTGCCTAATTGTCATCTTCCACAATAGCTTCGGTCTCATTTTCTCTTCTAGCGCCGTCGTTCTTCAGGAAGTGGATAACCTCACCATTCTGTTGGCCTTAACCATTCTGTTCAACAGCATTCAGCCTGTCCTTTCTGGTATATCTCACAATATCTTGTCACTCAATGTGGAGTATCATTTACTATTATATGTTTAAGTGGATGCATATAGGCGTGGCAGTTGGGTCTGGATGGCAATCTTACGTGGCTTATATAAACTTGGGTTGCTATTATATCATCGGCTTACCTCTGGGAATTTTCATGCAATGGTTCACCGACCTTGGAGTTAAGGTAGCGCTATACATGAAATGTGATATCATAAGATGAGCTTATCCTTCGGTATGGATAATGATGTGTTCGTACATATTGAAGGGAATTTGGATAGGGATGATATTCGGAGGAACAGGAATTCAAACATTGATACTGCTCGTCGTTACAATTCGATGTGATTGGGAAGGAGAGGTATGCAATTTATTTGATTTAATTTGAAAATAGTGTCACGACTCTTCACAATGGTATGATACTTACTGCAGACTTTGAGTATAAGCTTTCATGACTTTGCTTTGAGCTTTCTAAGAGACCTCACGTCAACGATCTTTGATTATAAACACATATCATTCCTGAATTAGCAGGAATGAGCTGACGTGGGACCAAATTGATACTTTGCAGGCTAAGAAAGCCGGGTTGCGTGTGGAGAAATGGAGAGATGAAAAGTTTGAGGCAAAGGAATGAACCATCTTGAATAGGGAGATGATGGGCTGACGACAAGGATGAAAAGGCCCGTCACTCCATAAGGGGACGGCTCCGACCAAAGTGCTGCGCCCGGCCCGTTTGTTGCCCTTTTTGCACATTGACAAGACCCTTCATTCGTTCTCATCTATTTAAAATTTAGCTCCGAAAATAAACAATTATTTAATACCTTTTAAATTAAATTATCGTATATAATTTTCGGAAAAGCCAGTCCTTATCAGTAATTTCATACAATCAAACTTTGTCTGCCATTGGAGTCTAGTCTGATTGTTCAACCTTTTGTCGTTTTCTTATAATATCGTCCTTTTCTTATTTACAAGATAATAGATTACAATAATATCAACTTGTATTGGTTTCGTCTCTAAAAATGTCAAATTTTTGTCTACATACCATATGGATAAGTTATGGTAAAGGGCTTCTGAAATTTTAAATTGAAGAATGGAAAGTTTTTAAGAAATAGTTTTAACAACCAACTATTTTATTTATTTATTTGTTTGTTTGGAGGTGATGAAAAATATAACCAATAATCTTCCACCATACATTACTTAGAAAGAGACAAGAAGAAAATGTAAAATAAAAAAGGAAAACGTTTATTTAAAGATGAAGTTTGTGTAAGGAATAGGGTTGGCAACAAGGATTCGGAGAGTGAGATGGCGCACTGAGTTTTGTCTCTCGGCCACGGCACCCTCTATTTCGTCTCTTTCTTCTTCAATTCAATATTATAAATAAATAAAACTCAACCAAAAAGTTCCCCATTTTATATTCCAAAAAGCATCAATGAGTGTATGCCTTTTCCAAAAGAAAAATCTTTCAAAGCAAACACAAAAAGCCAATTCCTGTTTCAAACCACTGCACCCCCAAAAACACCCATAAATTTCCAAAACAACCCTACAACACATTTATATACTTAATAATACGACCTATGTGTGTGTGTGTGTGTGTGTATATCTATATACCTGACATCTTTTTCCTTTCTCCTGCTGTATGGAACCGATAAGAGTATGAGGTGGAGAAAAAAATGAATGAAATTATGGTGTATGAGATTGATAGTGATTTAGTGGGAAAAGGTGGGGAAAAGGTGGGGAAAAGGTGGGGAAAAGGTGGGGAAAAAGGGGAAAAGGGGAAGGGGAGTTGAATTATGGTGCGCCCTGGCAACAAGGCTTTGCCTGCAAGTCCCTCCAAAAATACTCTCTGTCTCTCATATTTTATTTCCATAAACAACAAAGCAAGAAAATCTAGTGCTTGCTATGTGGGTGTCTGCGCAGACCCACTTTTTTTTTTTTTTTTTTTTTTTTTTTTTTTTTTAATATGTTATATAATTGAACAAATAAGTATAAATGAAGTGGAAAAGAGTAGTTGAATCGTTGTATTTTAATTTGGAATTCTATCAGTGTCTTCCCAATTGATAATCATTGCATGATAAGGTTCTTGTTGTACGGAATTACACCTTTAATGGACGCAATGTTGCAAACTCAGCCTGTATTTTGTATTTTATTCTCGTATAATAATATATTATGCACAATTGCTTTTGTGAAATTTCACCTTTATTTTAATAAATATGCCACCAATTAAATGTAAATATACTCTTTTTTTTTTTTTTTTATGGAATCATTATTGAATCAAGTAATATTAGAGTGGAGAGATTGGAACGGGTTAATCAATAATTTAATATTAGAATTATTAGATTTAGAAAGTGTCAAAACAAATGATTATGTTTCTCTTGGGTTATCGTCTAAACCAGGCATATTTATCTACTTCAAACAAGATATCATATCATATCATATATATATTCATTCGATATTACTGGGATCTTTTGGGACAACCGTTTAATAACAATAAAGTCATTTTAAGTAAATTAAATGAAATGTGGCCACCAATTAGGGCTCCGACGTGGATTCATCAAGGCCATTGAAAATGAGTCATCATTCGGAATCAAATTTAAACAATAAATAAATAAAAGGTTATGGTTTTTGTGAGCCAAAAAATTGAGGCAGAGGCATTAATCCTTGGATTTTGCAAAAAAGGCTCATCATGTGAACGTGGGGGCGTCTTCCGAATTGAGAGATGAGAGATAAAAATGATGAATCAATGAAACGTCCCTTTTCATTTGGCTTCACTATTTAAACCCCACACTCCCTCTACGCTCATCAATCTCTTCCTCTCCTCTTTAATTCCTTACTTTTCCTCCCTATGGCCACTTACCCTGCCGTCAACGTCGCCGCCGTCGACTGCCAAAAACAAGTCCGTTCATGGCAGTTCTTCCGATCTCTTATTGAATTTCTCATCCCCACTTGCAATTGCGCTTTCTCCGAAGAGGAACCCACGTATTCCTCCAAACCCACCTTTCCCTCCACCTCCTCCTCTGCCACTTCCGTCACCGGCACTATATTCGGTTACCGAAGAGGGAAAGTCAACTTCTGTATTCAAACACACTCCAAGTCAACCAACCCAATTCTCCTCCTCGAATTGGCAGTCCCCACCGCTATTCTCGCCAGGGAAATGAGAGGCGGCGTTCTCAGAATCGCGCTGGAGTCCACTTCCACCGCCGCCGCCGCCGTGAATTCCGGGGGGCGGTCGGTTCTGTCGTCGCCAGCATGGAGTATGTACTTCAACGGGAGGAAAGTGGGGTACGCTTTGCGACGACGGGCTTCTGCGGCGGACGTGGAGACGCTGCGGCGGTTGGGGACGATGGTGGAAGGCGCGGGAATTATGGGGGGGAAGGAAGTGGAAGGTGAAGGTGAAGGTGAAGGTGAAGATGATTACTTGATGTATTTGAGAGGGAATTTCGATAGAGTTTGTGGGGCGTCAGGGGACTCTGAATCTTTTCATTTGAGAGACCCAAATGGAAGCATCGGTCAAGAGCTCAGTATTTTCTTTTTCCGGTCAACATGATTTCATGGAAACCGACTGCCCCCCCTCCCCTGATTTCCCTTTTTTTATTTTGGAGCTGCGCTTTTTTGGGCAGGGCTTTTTCAGCTGCTCGCTGCTAATCATTCTTGCCTTCTTCCACCACCACCAGCTTCGACTTGTCGTTTTGATATTGAACATTATGTGCCTATGCATATGTACTTATGTTTGCGATGTTAATATGAAATCAAAATTTGGGACTTTCTACTCAGCTTCCTCTGTGTTGTCCCTTTCTAAATTGGGTTACCTTATGGTCTTGAATTCTACCTCTAGTACCAGATGAATGATTTGAGCGATGGCGTCCCAACTTCAATTCATTTTCATTCCACCTACCCTGCTTTGGTTTCGAGTGGGAGTTCATAAAAACAATGACAGAGGCATTAGGCTTTTTGAGTATGTAGAGAGAGCTAGGGACAAGTAGGAGGTTGATTCAAATTAGTCACCATCCATATATTATATTATACCTGCCTTTTGTTTTTATCTTACCTGATCGTAAAATGGAGAGTTCAACCCTCTCGATTATAATTATAATCATTAAACCATGAATACTTAGACCAATGAAAATGAGGGTTTAAGGAGGCGAAGTTAAATATGAAGAGAGATGCGTGCATGAATTAAGATTGTGACTGATTTTGGGGTATGACAACCGGACACGAGACATGACCAATGAACCCAAGGTTGGAATAGTGAAGTTGATAAAACGATTGGCGTTCGGGGCCCTATGAATGAGGGCTTTTTGAAAAGAAGGAAAGGGCAACAAAATGGGGTATGTGGTTGCATGACCTGTTTCTGATTCCTTATGTCTTCACAGACATTAGGCCCTCTGCCTCTCATGTTCCACAATCAAACGTGGAAAGTTTCTCTCTTTTTCTTTTTCTTTTTAAATTTTAAAAAAAATCTACTAAATTTTGTCAACTTTTCATGAATTAATATTTAAATATGGTCAAACTTGTTTGATTTATGATGATGAAAGGCATAAATGCTACAATGATTGCTTTATTAATCTGCTGTTTAATCCACAAAAATGAAAAAAGGATGAGATTTATAAGAAACGTAAACGTTGTTGGTCCTGAATAGTAATGTGCGATCCTGAAGGGCTGCAACTCAGAGCATGAACAGCAGGTGAGGGAACCAGGCACATGCTAATGCAACCCACAACCCACAGTCGAAAACAGCCCTGATGGGTGAATCACCTGCACCATTTAGACATGTTACATCATTGATGTAACTCAAAAGCACCAAAATGCAGGGCGTCGGATATAACACGGGTGTGTTTATTTGTCAATCAAAGTTGAAGCACAAAACAAAACAAAACATCCCTTACATTCTTGGTTATCACCTACCAAATTGAAGATAATTGTTCTTGATGTTCCACTCAAAATCCCAGTGCTTCCTGTCATTCTTTAGGGTCCAATAAGTCCATCCAAAAGAAGCTGCATTATAAACCTCTAGCTGGACCCTCCCAAAGTTTTGATAATCAGCCTGAGACCCATTTGTCACATCCCACTCATTCACCCATTCTCCTGTTAATCACACTCATCTATTATAAATCGGCCAATTTGGATTGACTTTCTAAATGCTTATGAAAGTGTTTGGCTCTAAGTTCGATAATCTTAGAAAAAAAAGAGTAAAGAGACCGAGGTGGTCCGAGGCTTACCAACGAATACTAGGGGACCGTTTGCACTGTTTAAGGCCTGTAGTTGAGTTTGCCTGTTCTTGTATATGATTTCTATGTTCTCCGAGGGGCTCAAGTGATCAAAGAAGGGATCAAACAGATTGTAGCAATGCAAATCCACTACTAAATTATGAGATCCTATGTCAGCTTCATAAAGTTCCATAGGATCTGCTTTCCCAATTCTTTGGCAAATTATTACATAAGCTTTTGAAGAGTATTTACGGACTATATTGTATCCTTGTTTGTAATATGATACCAAGGTGTCCAATGGAACTAAATCTGCTGACGGTTCGTTTAAAAGTTCAATTCCGAGCAAGGCTGGATGTTTTCCATACCTACAAAAAATATGCAGGAGATAACCGTACCAATGTCAAACTTTGTTGAATTTGCCACACCGAGCTTTTTAATAGTGTAACAACCCAAGCCCACAGCTAACATATATTGTCCTCTTTGAGTTTCCCCTCAAGGTTCTTAAAACGTGTCTGGTAAGGACAGGTTTCCACACCCTTATAAAAAAAGTTTCGTTCCGCTCTCCAACCAATGTGGGATCTCACAATCCACCCTCCTTTGGGGCCAGCGTCCTCGCTGGTACTCATTCCCCTCTCCAATCGATGTGAGATCTCATAAATAGTCTTTCAAGAGAACTTTATTCTCGATAGAGGCATATCATGAAATTTCTAAGTACGAATTGGTGGTACGGGTAACTATATAGATTGCAACAAGGATAAGAAGAATCAAAATCTGAGAGAAAAATACCTCGAAGCTAAGAAGTCTATAACATCCAATGTTTTAGAAATGTAAGCAGGAGAATTGGGCCATTCTAATGTACCGTCATTACTTGCGCTATGTTCCATCCCATTTTGGGAGCCGGGAGCAGCATGAAGGTCGATTATGCACATTAAGTTATAGGCTCTGCACCACAGAATTCAGGGTTTTAGTAGAGAATGTGAATCTGAAAGAATAATTAGAAAACAAGACCTACAGTGCCCATGAGAATGCATTGTCTAGAGCTTCCAAGGATCCACCAATAAATGGTGCAGGAGGATCCGGATCGAAAGCAATCCACCAACCAACAGGAATTCTCACTGTGTTTATTCCATGTCTATACAAAAATTTAAAGTCGTCTATAGTCACAAAATTGTTTCTATGTCTCTGCAGTTACATCAACCAGAAGTTAAGTTCATATATATATATAATTGCGATCAATCTATGGGAAAGCTAGTTGGTATTCAGACTTTACCTGATAAACACGAGTTGCCTCATCCTTTCCATAGCCATTTGCAAGCTGGTAATCTCCATGCAGGTTGCCTGAAACAATCATTTCAAAAGTGGCAGCATTGTCATCCCATCCTGGCTTCCCTGGATAGTCAGCTGTCAGCTGATTTGTTATCATAGCCTAAAAGTACAGCATATGCAATCCAGTTTAACTATTAGAATGTCTTAGCATACTAAAATATCGAGTAAAATTGTTGACAAGAATTGAGGGTTCAGTAGAGCCATGACTTCTCATGAGTTGTGAAAGCTGAGCGGCTAGTTATAAGGCCTAGCTAGTTGCTTCACTCATCACTTACTTTTGCAATTCTTTCATTGAGAAAATCATGGCAACCAAAAAGGAATATACATAGAAACTACAACAAACAAGTAAATGAAGAGATGAAATGTGATACCTGTAGATAGGCTCCAGTCCTAAGTTTTAGGTGCACTCTATTGTCTTTTCTTTCAACAAAGAAAGTTTCAGAGTTCCTGGGCGATTGAGCTGTTGCAGAGCATCCCAAGGCATCACATTTTAGAAACTGCCCGAGGACAGTACGGAATTGAAATTCTGATGCAGAAACTCTCCATAACTGCAACAAACAACAGAGGGGGTAAAGCTTGGGAGTCATGAAGGAGAAGAGATTTCTGATTGAGCATCTGACCCTGAAGGTTTCCCATGAAGATGCAACATCTCTATCGACTGCAACACCTGTGCCTCCTCCATTCTCAGCGCTAACGAACTTCTTCAATGTTACGGACCACAATTGAACCTGATTTCCATCCTGTATAATAGTATCAACTGAGCTATCTTGGAGACTTGGATTACATCCAAAACATGAGCTAAAAGAATGGAACTCACTAGCATGTCCCCATTGGGGATGCCTTCAAAAAGGGAAGGTTTAATCCAACCTTCAATCACCAACCATCCTCCTAAGTTCACTCCTCTGACTTTATTGTCCCCAAGAATTCCCTCCACTTGAATCAAGAGAAAATGATGAATAAGTATGTTACAGCACTGAGCAGAAGCTGATGAAATTACAATCATTGGGGCCTACCTGAAAATGCTTTAGAGGAGATAAGACAACAGCAGAGAAAAAACGCCGATACCCATTTCGTGAAAACAAGTTCCATTAAGCAATGCCAGCAGAGGAAGCATCACAAACCCAAAAATATAGTGAGCATTAGGAAGAAGAGATGAGAAGGGAAGTCGAGTATACGCAGCTAAGAATGAAGGGGTTGCTCCGATCTAAAGCAGCATTTGAGTCGGAGAATCTCAGTTATTCCTTCCGTATCTCTCAGATAATACCAAATTGAGATTGGGCGAACTAGCATAAAGACAGAAAAGGGTTTGTCAATCTCATCGCATTAAACTAATGGTTAGACGAGATCTTGTGAATGATCGAGACAGAAGCAAGCCCATTGAAATAGAAGACGAAGAAAAGAACAATTTGGTAGACTATAATAAAGAAATGAAAAAGGGTATCACTAGAAATGTGGTTATGGTCGTGCAGAAAGCGCAAAAGGGAAAGAGGGGAAGATTTCGCCTGAGGAATTGCAAGTTTTTACTGGTGGGGGCTAAGATTTTCATCCAATTTTTAATCTTCCCGTTCATGGGGTTGAAAGAAAGGCGAGAGTTTTGGGAGACTAGGAAGGTGAGCCAACTCCAACCAAGGGAAGATTTGGTGTAAAAGGGGCGTGTAAGATATTGGCCCAGATTCCATCTTCTTCTCATCAAATCAAAATAGCCCACCTTTCTAATTTTTACAACTTCCTCGCTTTACTTTTTACTGTTAACAATTGATCCCTGTGGCTGTGTGCCTCTGAAATAAAGAAGATTCGTTTTTTTTTTAATTATTTTATTAAGAAAAGATATCAAAATGACGACTTTTCTAGGCAATTGGCAACAATAGTTCAACCTTAACGAGGCTTCCAAACTGCACTATATGCTCATGAATCCCTTGTGAGAGAATAAGATGTCAGCGCATAAAAGAAGGAACGCCTTCTTTATACATTCATCTTGTTCTACTGTATTTGTTTTTTGAGCTAAACCAGAAAAACAAAATAAGAAACAGAACATGCCCTCCGGTTACTGCCATTTTTGCTGTCTCGTGAGCTAAAAGATTTGGATGTCACCGACAATGCAGAGCAGCAAAGCCGACGAAGGAAGGTGGGAAGTGAGGTAAAGGATATCGTCCCCACCGATCCAAGATCCGAATCATCAACCCTTCCCCGAAATGATCAAACTCAACTTTAGCAGACAATAATTCAGATTTATCATGTGGGATCGATCATGGTTACTAAATCTTGATTCACTAATAAGACGAGACTGGCCACACGGCCTACCAAGGATGAGCGTCCAAGTCACCAAGTGGCATAAAAGCGCCAAACAGGAATGGAAACAGTAAGAAAATCATCTAATACCATATTCATCTTCGAACTAGTTTATTGCATATGAGTTTGTAGAGAATAAAACTCCATACTTGCGTGCAGCTCACGTCAAGTAGAGATGTTCCCCGTACATTAATGTAGTGTAGTGTAGCCAAAAATACATTTTTACTTGTAAAACTAACTTTTAACCTCCAAAATTCAAATCAGCAGCCCTCGTTTGTCAATGTGCAGATAACTAGGAATGTTACAAAAGCCGAGGCATTGAGATAAATAAATAAGCCCATCTTCTTCTTTATTTATTCTATTCGTATATTACCTTTTAGAAAAAACCCCAACAGAACAGACCAGAGTTGCAGCAGCTTGAACACCTTACCATACACGTGTAGGAGCAGGGCAGCTTCTTGGAACTGTACAGAAAAGATTGTGAGTTTCGCGGACATTAAGATTTCTTTATTTCTCACATCGGAAGGACCGAGCTCTGGCTTCTGTAATGCCTGGCCGAATGTATCTTCCTTCTACCCGAACTTAACATTTTCATCGAGATCCCCCCCTTTTGCACAGAACGCCCAAATGGAATGCTCTTCACGAGATTATACAAGCTCTGATTTCCGACTCCCCGCTTTGGGAAGGGAACATTCCTCGAAGAGACTGAATTCTTCACTTCCACTAACGCCCCACTTGAAGAAGAACCTTCTTCTGGAATTTGTATTTTGGCCGTCGCCTGATAAATCGCCATTGCAGAAACTGAATCCATAGAAACCGACCTTCTTATCGCTTGTCCTTCGTCTTCCACAGCCTCGCGAATTTGATTCTCAGTCAAATCACTCAAAGTCAGAGACAGCCCTTTGATTGGAATTTCAGAATTCCCTCCACTATTGCTACCCCCTTCTCCACTGTTTGCATCTCCTCTGTTTTCTTCCTCGACGGCCTCTGTTTCCATTTGGGTAACTTCGATCGCCGGCGGCTGGTTTCTGATCGGTTCGGTGGGGACTAAATTAGGGGCGGCGGAGTTGGACAGCACTGGAGCACGACAAAGGGGGCAGTTTTTGTGCGATCTCAGCCAGGTGTCGATGCAGGGAACATGGAAGGCGTGGCTGCATTTAGGCAACAGTCGAAGGCTCTCGTCGTCTTGAAACTCGCCGAGGCAGATCGAGCAGTCTGATCCTTCGATTAATTTCTCGTCCTTCCTGTACTTGAACATGGTGATTGAATCGATGATCGATTGCTGGAGACCGACGGTATTGATGTACCATACGTGGTGGTCAAGGACGGGTGCTTCTTCATCTTCATCGGGGAGGTTCTCTCTGTGGACATCGAACAGAGGCGGCCCATTCTGTCTGGAGTTACGATACTCCTTCAATTTCTTGACAAGAAGACAAACCATGAAGATGGCGACGATGAAAGTAGCTGTGGAGATCAAACTGAGAAGAAGTAGAGTCTTTCCCGAGGGATGGGGGCGGGGTGGGTTACCGGAAGACGGGAGCAAAGGCAGATGCGGCGGAAGTGACTTTGGAGAACATAGAAGGGAACAGTTAGGAGTACAGAGTGTATAGCAAAATTTAAAATGATATCGGGACCCAAGACAAGCCCGGTGGCAGGGCATGGCGCGGATGGGGCAACTGAATTGGCGAGGAAAAGGCGGAAGAGATGGGAGGTTGAGCGGTGGAGGTGACGGTTGATGAAAGAAGAAAAAGGCATAAAGTGGGGATGAGGGAAATGTTGAAGAATTTTCGAGGAAGATGAGGGAAGTGGTTTGTGGGTATTGGTTGAAGACAAGGACATGGGCATTCAACTTGGCCCATGGAAGAGTGCCTGTAAGTCAATGGACTTTATTGTGCCATTCCCGCGTTCCAGACTTTCCAGTCGTCTTTCTTTTTCCTCTCCCAAAGGACTTCCATGTCAGCCCTAGTCTCAAGGAAAATGGAAAACCAGTGAAATTTCCTCAACGCAAACTAATTATAACCGTACACGTAAGCTTAATACGTGGCTCAGATTGCCACCTGACAGCTACTTCCTAGTTCCATCGTTGTCTAGCTGCGTGTTTGGCGGGTCTTTCAGTCTATTCCTCCCTACAATCGTAATCAAGAACTCAGAGTTCAATTATTGATGAATTTTGTTACTGAAAATTGAGTGGATGGGCCCTTTGGCATACGAGCCCATGCCCTGTGGCCCATATTCTGAATTTCTTACGTTTGGATACTGTGACAGGACCCGGCCCATCTCATTTTTGTCTGCTACCCTGCAATTTCCTCGTGCTCTTATTAGCACTTATTAGCTCATATAATTAAAATATTCTAAGAGGCAAAGACAAGTTGTTGGCGTTTAAAACAGAAATTGGGAAACAAGAAGAGCTGTCCTTTTCTTTTGTCCAAGTTCCATAAAATTTGGTATATTTTCTTTTATTTTTTAAAATAGTATATACACCAATTAATCAGTTAAGTATTCATAATTTTTATGGAATAAAATACATTAATGACAACTAAATTCTTTTTTCTTATTAAAACACACATTAATTAAATTACCAATTTAACGTTATTATTTTAATTGATGAGCCTATATGGATATAAAGTTTAAAAATTAATAAAGAAGAGCAATCTGATTCTTTTTTGGGGGCGGGGAATAAGCCCACTGGCCAAGCCTCCACACTCAGCCACATTGCACGTATCGCATTTTTAAGAAATTAACCCAAGCTTTGTTTTGAAAAGGGCTGCCACTTAAAAATAAATAAATACTTAACATTTATTTGAATCCCATAAATAAAAGTTATTAATGAAAATGTTTTATAAACTTAATTATAAAAAAGAAAAAAGATGATTACTTAACGGAGTTGAAATGATTCGAACAACTAATCTAATACTTAATAATTAATAAATAGGAGACAACATTTTCATATTTAATAATTATAGAAATTTTGATTATTTAAAACTATAGGCTGCTCCAACTGCACAGACAAAGTATCAAGAACAGATTTTTTTTTTTTTTTTTTTTTTTTTTTTTTTTTTTTTTTTTTTTTTTTTTTTTTTTTTTTTTTTTTTTTTTTTTTTTTTTTTTTTTTTTGTTAATTCCAAAATTGTCCTTATAAATCCGTTTCAAAAGTACGGTCAATAAGCGCGGGGGGTGGTTCCACTCGCGATAGACGGTGGCCGTAATTTGCATTTGGCGTGAATTTGAGATGAATTTGGTTCTGGCAAACCGCAGTGAACCCAACCCTAGTTAGATTCCAACCCTACTTTCTGACACGAGTTGGATTATTTAAAGACAGAGAAAGTATTAGACTAATCGTAATTGAGCTGCACACTCCCCCTCTCCTCCTCCTCCTCCTCCTCCTCCTATTTCATTTTCTAGAGCTTCTCCCTCAACCCACGATCTCTAATAATGCAGTAGAGAGAGAAACAAGAGAGAGAACGAGAGAAAAATATCATTTTGGGCAATCGATCATCATCATCATCTTCTTCTTCTTCTGCGGGCTGGGTTGGATTTTGATATTTTTGTTTCCATTTTGAGGATCGATTGGAATTGGGTTTTGTTTTCTGGACTTTTCTTTTGATGGGTTCAGAGAAGGAAGGAGAATCGAAGACCAAGAAAGATCCAGGGGAAACAGGGGAAGTAACTGGGAACTTGTACAGAGTCGGCCTTGTTTCACATCTGGAACGTCCTCTGCTTCTTCCTACAACTCTATTCCTTTCTGCTACTTTGAACCACTCTTTCAGTTCCTAACAATCCCTCGCTACGCTTCTAACAAATCACGCCTCCAAGCTTTTAGGGTTCACTTGAATACAAGGATCTCATCATATTTTGGGAGCTGTTTTTTTTAATCTCTTCCGTCATGAAGAGACATGGCAGCTCAGATTCGTTGGGCGCTCTGATGTCTGTGTGTCCTACTTCAGGTTTAAATATAATCAACAATTTTGTTTTATATATCTTCATTTCTTTATTCTTCTTCTGCTGCTTAATTTCCATTTTCCCGACACCCCCATGTGAATTTTTCTTTTCTTTTCTTTTCTTTCTTGTCTCTTGTTAAAACCCAATAACTCGCAGGAATCTTTACGAAACACGCTCTTGCTTGCAGATGAACAGAGTCCGAGGAACAGCCATGTTTATGGCAGGGAATTTCAGTCGATGTTGGACGGGTTGGACGAAGAAGGCTCCATGGAAGAACAGTGTCATGTGGGAGAGAAGAAAAGGAGACTCAGTGTTGATCAAGTTAAGGCCTTGGAGAAAACATTCGAGATTGAAAACAAGCTGGAACCAGATAGGAAAGTGAAGCTTGCTCTAGAACTTGGCCTGCAGCCAAGGCAAGTTGCTGTATGGTTCCAAAACCGTAGAGCCCGATGGAAAACTAAGCAACTGGAGAGAGATTATGGGCTTCTGAAAGCCAATTACGAAACTCTCAAGCGTAGTTTCGATACCCTTCAGAAGGACAATGATGGTCTGCTCAAAGAGGTCGATAATTGTAAAATCCCAGAGAGTTTTTGTTCTAAATGTTGAAGTTTTGTTTTTCCCCCAATTCACCTGTCTCTGTTTTATAGATTAAAGAATTGAAATTGAAGCTCGAGGAAGAGAAGACAGAGAGGCATTTATCAGTGAAGGAAGAGATTTTCGTGCCAGAATCGGGCAATTTACTTATTGAGCAGACGAACAATCATCTTTCGGTGGATCATGTTCCTCTTCCTGTTTCTTCGGATCATTCCGACGACTTCAACTACGAGAGCTTCAGAATAGCAAGCGCCGAGGATGGGGACGAACAAAGAGTTAAAGTATCGTTGTTCCCTGATTTTAAAGATGGGTCATCGGACAGCGACTCAAGCGCCATATTAAACGAAGACAACAGCCCAAACGCCGTCGTATCGTCCACGGCCGCCGGGATGCTCCAAAGCAAACAGCAAATTCTGTCGTCTCCGACGTCGTCTTTGAACTGGTTCCCGTATCAAAAGGCAGCAGCTTATAATAATGCACAACAATACGTGAAAATCGAAGAGTACAATTTCTTCAGCGGAGAAGAGAGCTGTGATTTGTTCTCCGATGAACAAGCGCCGTCTATGCATTGGTACTGCCCCGATGAGTGGAACTAAAAGCAATTCCAATCATGAGAGTGAAATCTAGCGTGGGAATTGGCACGGTGGGATTGGTCGGAGAGGGAACAGGTGGCGGCTCAGAGTGTTGATTGGAGTGAAGCTGTAAAGATTGATGGTGGGTGGGATGATTAGAAAGAACAAATGTTGTAATGAACAAATAATGATTCCCTTGGGCTTTTTCCCCCCTTTCATTTCTAAACCATTTTTATGCCCTAGATTCCTATAATATTTGTACTTCACTAAATTAAATCCATCTTTGGTGAATATTTTGAAAATTAATTAATTAATTAATTAATTAATTAATTAATATATGAAAAAGAAAAAGAAAAAGAAAACCAAGGGATTGAAGAGAGTGGCTTAAAAAGAAGAGACCTATGATTGGATGATGAAAAAAAAGAGCTTTTCTTTTGGTCCAACTTTTTAAAACAACGAGTGCGGTTAATTCCCATCTCACCCTCGTTCACATCTAAAGCTAACATTTCCCATTTCGTTATTTATTTATTTTTCCTCATTATATATTGTTTTTGTTTTAGGTTGATGTATTATGAGTGGATTAAAGATAATGCAGATTCCGACTCCACGTCGACCAGCGTGGGGGGCCCACTTCTAGACACCCTACTCTTTTAAGATTTATTTATTTATTTATTTATTCATATGAGTTCGCATGGGACCCACTCGTCAGAGTTGCAGGAGCAGCCGACAGTAACCCCATCCATTTTAAAAGACACGTGTACATCCCCTTCTTCTAGAAGCCCACTTCCTGGTTCTTTCGCCCCTTCCTTCTCAATTTAACAAATTGAACATGTTTTTAAAATAAAGTTTTTTCAAATACTCTCTCCCTTTCCATGGCAACCAACCCTAGTAAGTTTTCTTTTCCCTACTAAGTTATTCATTATTAATTTCATTTACCCTATCTTTATTCACTAATAAATCCACTGGGTCTTGTATTCAGAAATCTGCAGGGGCTCGGATCCCCGCATTCCGATTAAATTCATGCAACCAACCAACACTTTCCACGTCATCTCCGAGTTTTTATACCAAAAATAAATAAATAAACTCCATATTTTATGAAAAAACTATATTTAAATTCTAAAACTCCATGTTTTAGTTCTTAAAGTTTCCAATAATCTATTTTTTGTGTCGCTGTCCCGAATATTTTTTGATGTTTTTGTTAACTTTCTATTTTTGGCCAACTTTTCTCTCTCTCTCTCATCCCTTACCCTGCCTCCTTGTTCTCACCGGTGACCAAGCTCCGGCGACCGTCCTCTGGTCTCCCCAATCCCATCTTCGTTCTCGTCCTTCCTTATTCCAACTATATTACACTGAAATGCAGGTAAGCAGAACAGTGCCGGAAAAGCTCACCAAACATTCATCACTTCGCTTTTGACTTTTATTTCATTCAAACCTGACACCTCAACTCACAAATACTTCCACACCTGTCCATCAAAAATAAATAAATAAATAAATAAATAAACCATTATTATTGTTATTTTGAATTTATATTTTTCAAAATTCTAATCCAGTTGTAAAACCCAGAACAAGTCTAATATTACGGCTACTCACTCAGAATAAGAAACAGTGCAGTTCTTATTTAAGAATTAGATAAGATGAATATGACTAATTAAAATGAATATGACATAGCTCAAATTAATAAGTCTGATGTACCAAAAGCGACACCGTTATTAATTCTTTTTCGGAAAATATATATTTTTAATTTATTAATTAAATGTTGCATCATTTGTCAACATAAAGATTAAAATACATTATAAATTAATTAAAACCATTTCTGTACGAAATTAAATTTACATCACTCCACTGATTTATAAATATAAAATCATTCTAATTAGCTAATCGCTGCAAGCAAGGGCCAATTAGTTTTTATTTTTCATAAGGTAATCATAATTTATATTATTTTTCCCTTTCTCAGGATAGTAAGAATATCTTATGAAAGAAACTTTGGATTTGGTTTCAGAAATTAAAATTGATGTGATTTCAATTTTAATATCTCTCTCTCTCTCTCTCTCTCTCTCTATATATATATATATATATATATATATATATGTATGCATGCATGTATGTATGTATGTATGTATGAAAGAGATGAGAACGGAAATGAAATGGTCGGGCCGTCCCGTTTTCAACTCTATTGAAAACTGAGTTTGATTTTTGTAATTTAATATAATATGTGGTGGGGGAAATGACGCGACACATTGCAGGAAGTCCAAAATAAAAGCTTAATTTGGTTTAATACATAAATTAAATAGAATTAATAATAATCAAGTTGAAATGTTATTCATTTGGATACATATGAACACCAACAGTGATCTGCACAACTGCATTTAAACTTTGAACACGACAACCGACCAAACAAAAATATATATAGAGAGAGAGAGAGGAGTAAGGCATAGGGCCCCATGCCCTTAGCCCATTGATTTGATAACAAAAGTAGGGTCATTGCCCCTTGTCAGCACGAACAAATTATTCGAGAGAACCACTATGATTTGATGTATAGTTTTACGTCGATAAATATATGATAGAAATGTTGCAAAAAAAATTTAAAATTTATATCATCTATCTGTCTAACTGGGGTTGGGTTGGTTCCTCTTCCATAGGCTACAGATGGACCCTCTCTTTTCATAAAAGACAACTAGATTTGTTTGCCGTTTTCATTCTGAAAAGTGAAAAACTGTGCACATCTATTTTAGGCTTCATTTCTCAAAATTTGGTGCTTCAGTAGTGAAGTCATCATCTCATTATGAGTTAATTTAATATAAGATTTTGATGTTTGATGGTGTGACAAATTTAACTACACGGGTTCTTAATGTAGATCTATTGAAATACTTTTAAATGTTCCGATTTAAAAATTATGATCTTCTTTTGCCATTTGAAATACTATTACTAAATTAAAGCCAAAATAGATTGATATAGAAACCTCTGGACTGATAGAAAGTTAGGTTAAATTATAGATCATACTTTTTCCAAAAAAAAAAAAAAAAAAAAAAAAAAAAAAAAAAAGGTTGGAGCACAAATCCCAAAAGGCATCTTCGGTTATTTCCATGGAAAATTGTGAGTTAGCGTGTAGTATGGGGTGCTCCCACGAGGTGTCCCACACTCCCACTTGTGCTTTGTCTTTATAACTTCTAATATTACAATACATTTGGTTCTAACTCAACCCCAACAGAGGCCTCCAATTTCTAGTCTTTGACTCGTCGTCTTGTATAAAACGGTCAGTCACATTGTTTAACTATGGAACGAGATTTTTCGAGAAATCTGGAAGAAGGCAGAATAAGGGTATGCATGGGAGGGTTAGAAAAGTGGAAGGAGATGTGGATGTGTTGTTGGACCTACATTGATAAATATACACGAGGGTCTGCTTTTTGGGAGGCTACGAAGGAAAAGAGAGTCATTTCGAAGGTTGTCCATTTCTGTGTCGTGTCGGGTCGCTGTACAGAGTGAGCTTTCCCAACTCTCAACTCATCATCATCATCATCAACATTCAACACACTTTCTTTCGTCCTTAAGAACCGGAAGATGCCGCCCCTTCCTATCCATTAAGCAACGCTTCATTTCATCACTCACCTACCACTTCCCCATTGCAGCCTGCTGGGGCCCTTTCATTTCTCAACTTGCTTTCCATTTTCCACTTCCTTTTAATTTCCCTATTTCCTTTATCCTAATCCCTTCAATTTCATATCACTTTTCCATCAAAATTATAATGCCAGCTTTTCCATGAAAATCACTGTAGTTTTTTCAGTGGCTATCCTAGTTTTCTTTGCACTCCTTTTTATACTTCTACAGTTGTACTCTAATTTCCTTGATTTTTAATTACTCAGTGTTCTCTACTTTTAATCTTTTATGGGGCTCTTTTTATTTTTTACGTATCAACTTTTCTTGGATTCCTTTTCCATTTACTTTACATTTTTGTCTTTAATAATGTCTTTGGTTTCTTATATTCAAGTTCCTATTTCCGTCTCCTACAATCTTGGATTTTCTCTTCCTTCAAAGTTCGTCAAAAGTGATTGAAGCAGTCTCGATAACTGTTTGATGAGGTTTTATTCATATAGAACTTCCATGAAAACGACTCAAGGTTGAACTTGTCGCGGCCCTCCTCGACCAGTTTCGCTAAGAAAGTTTCTCCCCTTTGAAGAAAGAGAGGTTCACGGGGGAATGCAATGGACAATTGAGATCACATATCAAAAAAAACAACTAAGATCCTTCGGCAGTGACCGACTTTTCTCTTTTTTTGTCTCCACTGAGAGCGGCAATGTTTGACTTATACAACGAGTCATTTAAACCATATGAAAGATGCAGCTTCACGGAAAATATCAAAATATCAGAAAACTGTTCCCTTCAAAGTTCTTCCGTATCTAGAATTTCAACCTTCATTTCCTAAGCTTCCAATTACATTCGGACATCAATATCAAAATACCAGAAAAAGATATACAATATAAAATTATCGTATGACATCTGTGTGTTCTGAAGCAACACTCAGAGAATCAAAGCCATGCTGATGCAGCCAAGACACAAACCTTTGCAGTTGCGACCTCTGTGAATTTCACGACCATGGTTGTTTGACCAGTTAGTGAGCGTACCTCAATCCTCCAGTTTTCTTCCCAACCAGTCAGCTTATATACGTATGTAGTATATACGTCTGAGTCAGTATAGCAGGATAACGTTCCAAATATGTGTTCAGATGCGGGATGATCCAACTGCAAGTAAACAAACTCAACTGGCACCAAGGGCCTATAGGACCAGCATTCTTTAATTCTTAAACCTAAAGAGAAAAAATGGTTGTTATAGAGTTGGCCTCAATCACTCAAATTCTATTTCCCTGCCGGAGCTCTTAATTTCCATCCCATCGTCCTCGTCGCTATAACCTCCCTGATCCGATGGCTGTTTCAATCTTTGGAAGATCTCATCAAGAGACTGAGATGAATCAAGGCGAGGGAGAGATTTTGTTTCTTGAATTTGTGACAACGGAAGAAACTTTTTGGTTCCTATATTAGCCTTGAAGTTTTGGAAACCCATCTTCATTGATTCCCACTTTGAGGCCAAACCAGACGTTGTATTTTCACTGGTACTGCTAGATTCGCCATCTACTGTATCAAGTAAGGTAACCTTGGCAGAAGCAATGTTCGCCACTGGCTTTGTGTTTAATGATGATTGTATAATTTGC